TGAGGTAACTTCTGTTATGATTTGAAGCTATAAAAATAAAATTATATATTAATATTTTTATTGTTGGTCAGCGGGTTGTATCATAAAGTTGGAAACTCAATTTCAATAAAAAGTTAAACCACAGGACGAGGAACGGTTCATTTGTTTGGGTTTAAAACCTGGAGGTGAATTTTGTCATTCCTTCTCACTTGAATGACTTTGATTGTCTAATAATTCATTTATATTGATGCACATGCAGGTTTAGCCCATTTTCTTTTTAAAAAATCCCAAAAGGAAGAAACATTTTTGTTAACAAGCATTTAAATTTGCTTATTGATGAATTGTGTGCAGGACGTTTCTCAACTGAAAGATAAACTTGTCAGTGCTCTCTGGTGGACTAATTTCTAAAATAGTCAAGTTTTTCTTAACAGCAGCTTTTCATCACTTATCAGCCAACGTATGATAACAGAAACAAAAACTGTCGGATTAAAGCAGCCATGTCGACGTTAAAGTTTCATTTTATTGACTTAAAATTGTGCACCTTTGGCAGAAGTTCTGTGAGACAAACAGAAATCAGACTTTTCCCTTAAAGACCAGCGCTGGCAACAGTCACATTATCATGAACCTGGCTCATACAATGTGTACTACTAAACAAAGGAAGCAGAAACAGAGAGTGGATCTGAGTAGACGAACAGTCGAATGAAATCCACACTTCTACACTCCACTTGGTTACTGTTGCTAAGGCTGGAAAACTTTATCCAGCGGCGGAGGGACTGTCCAAGTAATTCTTCCCTTCGCAGCTCCGGCAGATTTGGAGTGTGAGGCTGTGAAGATGAGAGAATAAATGTCTTCCCATCGTGCACAACAAGAGCTTTTGTTGGGAGAGAAACACTTAAATGTCTGTGTTCTGATCCCCTTCTATAGCCTTTAAGTACATTTTGTCGCCTAACTGTCCAAACAAGCCAAACTACATATTTAGGCTGAAATGTAGTAGTGCAAAGTTGTTGAATGTGCAGTGACAACAAAACCAAAAAACCCTCACCTACAAAGCTACTGCAAGCAAAACAAATCCTGTTAAAGCTAACAGTTGCTAACCTTGACTAAAACTGAACTTACCTACTGTTTCCTGTCTTTGAAATACATTTTGCTGAGCTAACATCTTGTTTGATTTGCTATCCAACATAAATAAGGCAGAGGCTAATTCATAACAGCAGGCCTAACGTTAGCTTAGCAGTACAGCATAAACTGCCATCTCGGCTTTTGATTCTAGTAGAATTAACAGTTTTGTGTCGTTAAGCTTTAGTATTATAAAAGAGTACATCAAACAGTTCTTAAAAAGTTCTATATTCATGCTTTCACATCACAAGGTAGCCCCGCCCTAAAGCATACCCTGCTTTATGGTCTATTTTACTCTAAATGGGACCATCAGTTACTAACTAGAGACTGAGACCATAAACTCATCAGGAAACTGTTTACTGAGCTCATAAATCAAGTGGGAAGTCAGCTAATTTCTCCATAAGACTCGATACTATTGGTGTGTTATTGGAGCCCCTGCTGGCCTTTACATAGAATGCAGGTTTAAGACACTTCCACGTGGGCTTCACTTCACAGACCTGGACCAGAACCCGCCATCCACCCCAACCATGTCCTTGTCTCTCCACTCCGTTACATAAATGTAATGTTTCAAAAAACTGAGCGTAACCCAGGCAGAGATTACGTTGCCACAACAACGTAATTATGAAAACAATTCAGTAATGCACAAACACTCTCTCAGGGAGACAGGGTTGGTGTGCACTTATATAACGTTACAGCATAATAAAACATGTGAAACAGAGTGATAATAGAGACAGAGCAGAGTGGAACAGAGTGACAGCAGAGTGGAGACAGGAGCACGAGCTATCTGATGTGTTTTAAAGACTTGTTTGGAATGAACTCAACAATACACTCACAGCAGTTAGTCATGATTCAGTCATCAATACGGACAGGTCCAGAAACACACCCTGAGGGGAGGGAGAGGAAGGAAGGAAAGGAAGGAAAGAACGGAAGGAAGGAAGGAAGGAAGGAAGAAAGGAAGGAAGGAAGGAAGGAAGGGTCAAATAAAGTAAGAAGCAATGGATTTAAAAAAGGGAAAATTACAAGAAAGGAAGAGAAACAGCCAAAGAAATACAAGAAAAAATGGATTCAGAGCTTGGGATTGAGGGAGAAGAGAGAGAGGGGGAAAACAAGATGGATGGAGGGAGTAAAAAGATAAATGCAGAAGAAGAAAATAGCGATATTTGGTATGAGACATGTAAAAGAAAGGAAAGGGAAGGAATGAAGGAGGAAGGAGACAATTGAGGTTTGGAAGCAAAAGAGAAAAAAGTGAGATTGAACGACAGGAAGAGCAAAAGAAGAAGAGAGGAAAAGGAAGTTGTGAAATGAAAAAAAAAGAAAGCGGAAGAGAGAGATAGTGAGGAAAAGAAAGACGATAAAACATTTTAGGAGGCAAAGGAGAATCGAAGGGAAGGAGATACGGAGGGAGGAGGACTGATGGAGGACTGATGGAGGAGCAATGAAAAGGTCAAATAAGAGAGAGGAACCACACCCATAAGGAGAGCAGGAGGGGGTGATGTCAAGAGGGGGGGAGAGATGAAGAGAGGGGAAGGAGAAGGGAGGATGAAGAGGGAGGGAGTCCCACCCTGAATGACAGAGGAGGGGATTTCTACTGGAGCTACAGAACCAGAGTCAGAACTAAATCCAGAACACTGTAAAACCTGATGAGTTAGTTCAACTCAAACTAATGAAAAACTAATCATTGTTAAGGTCATTTAAATTAATTGTACTTAAAGCTAGTAAGTATATTAGACTCAAATGCAGTATTTCTCCAAAATATGTGTTGATCTGATTAAAATAACTTAAATACATCTTCATTATAGAAATGTTCCCACTTAAATTAAATTTACTTCTTATTTCAAAACAGCTGACGTATTATAAAAATAATTTACAGTTAATCGATTATCAGAATGGTAGCTAATTTATTTTGGGGCTTACATTTTGTAAAGATATAAAGTCAAAGAAGAGGAATATATCCCCAATAATTAAGACTCAAAACAGCTGAGTTATTATTTCAACAATTGGATTAAGTTATGTTAGTTTACAAATGTTATTAAGATAAGCTGTTTTTACAGTGTAAAAGTAATAATACTGAACTGTACAAGTCCTGCATTCAAATCCTCAATTAAGTAAATGTATCATCAGCAAAATTAAAGTACTTAAAGTAAAAGTAAAATGAATATCATGCACATAACATTTAATATGATGTTATTATATAGACTGACTTCCAGCCTCCAACTGTTTGTAGTTCAGTCTACAGTAATGCATCATAATCTGTATGTTAGTGGCGTGGCTGTCCTGCAGAGGCGGATCTAGAGACTTTAAGGTGTGTAGAAATATCTGCTGATTTAATCACAAACAATCATGTGCATCAATATTATCTTGGAAAAGCCCCAAATTAAGATATTTGAACTCAAAAACATTATTGTGGCACGTTAGCAAAGCAGTGAACAGAAATATCTAAAGGTGGTGAAATCAATATATTGTTTTATTTCCAAATTTTTCAAAATACTTCACTCATTGAACTTAAAGCTGCAGTAGGTTATATTTGGTGAAACGTTCACTATATCCTGACAGGAGAACATGAGACAGATAATCTGTGAAAAAATCAGGTTCCTCTGGTTCCTCCTGATGCATCCGCAAGAATCCACCGGGCCCGAACGAAAACAACCAATCAAAGCCAAGATAGTTCATTCCCGGGGCGTCAAATACAGATGCTTTGGGACTAAGCCTCCAACACAAAACGTCTTTATATCTTTCTCCACTCTAGTTGGTTGTTTTCAGGTGGATTCTGAGTCTTACTGTAGAAACATGGCAGACTCTATAGATAAAAACGTTTCATTCTAAGGTAACAAAAACACGATTCCTTTATTCAGGTTATTATACACTAATGAAAACATAGCTATGGATGTTATATTCCATTTCTGACAATAAATCCTCCTCAATGTTTCACATTGGACCTTTAAAACGACTTGATTCCACCATCAAAAAGTGGTTCAGTAAGAGAATCTAAGGCGGCCTGCTGCTGCGGCTCAGTGACCTGAGGACACATAATCCTACCATCTCTCAGTTGTTTTCTGCGGTTGTAAACATTTATAAGGCTCAACTCTGGATGATCTGACTCATTAAACACGCCTCCACACTAAGACTGTGGCTGTAAATGAGTCTGTAATTTGGACCAGTGGTTCTGAGTCCAAGCAGTCTGTGTGGGAGCAGAACAGCTGCAGTGATGGATACACACCAACATTCAAATGAACGCAGGAACTTGCGTGTCAGTGTGCAGTGCTTTTTCACGCTTTCATCTTTCACAGGGAACATTTCTCAGCTGAAACTATGATCTAAAAACCACTATGGTCACTGGTGAAAAGACAAGTTAATTAATGATTTGATTTGTTTTTCAGGTCATTTTATTCATCTAAAAACCTGAATCCCTTTTTTTCTGATATTCTTTCACAAAGATCGATAATGGAAATAATCATCAGTTGCTGCCTAATTGTCAGATGTGTAAACTGGCAGTATGCCTGCTCTGTGAGCTCTTCAGTGTCTCACATCAGTGAATGTCGCCCCCTTGTGGTGGTTTGGATCACCAAAAAATAAATAAATAAAATGCAACCAAAGCAGCTTCTGGTCAAACTTTATCAGAATCTTATTTTTTACAACTTTGGTCAGAATGAAGACAGCAGCTACACATTGCCAGTAAACAAATAAAAACATTTCTAATAAATAAAAATATATTTCACCTTCAGTTGTCAACACAGCTTGAGTTCTTGGTCCTGAGAGCCTTCGTCACAACAACAAACAAAAAGCTTTATCGATGGTCCTAAATCGGATTTTCTTCCCCACAAATTAAACTTAAACTTTAAATTAGAACCACATAACTCCAATATGATCCTGATGGTTGTTTGTCTGAATAAAACGGGTTTTTTTGTATGTTTTTTGCCTTTATTTTGATAGCACAGCTCAAGATAGACAGGAAATGGGTAGAAAGAGAGAGAGGAGGGCACGCAGCAACGGGCCACAGGTCGGACTCGAACCAGCGCCTTCAGCCTGTACCAGGTGAGCTACCAGCGAGCTCCGTCTTAATAAAAAGCAACCGATCAAACACCGTGTGATCCAGGACGGGGGGCGTCAGTTGTTATCGGTGAAAACTTGTCCCAGGACGGAGAGTCGAGATCTGAACGGCTGAACGGGGCAGGTCAGCAGGGGGGGCGTCTTCTTCTCACCCGGTTTCAGTGCAATGCTCTCTGATTGGCCGGGCAGGGGGCCATCTGTCTGTTTAGCGGGCGGCTTTGATTGGCGGCTGGACTTTCCCGCGGGCTGCGATAGGCTGAGGAGGATGTCTTGGAGCTCCTGCTGGTCCTGGGCGTGGCGGCTGCAGCAGTACAGCGCCGCCGGATCCAGAGGGTGAGCCTCCGTGTTGAAGATGAACCCCCCCGCCCCTAGAACGCACTCTCCCGACTCACCTCCCTCCTCCCAGGACCCGTCCCCCTCGCTCCCCCCGCCGTGCAGGAAGTGGGCAGGGTCAAAGAGCAGGTAGAGGTACTTGACGGTTTCGGCGAGGAAGAAAGACTCCATCCTATTGTCCAGCTGGTGATCTCGCAGGTCTTTAACCTGCAGGAAGACAAACAGCCAGGGATGAGCGAGTACGCCGTTATCTGCATCTGTTACACCAACTACATGATCTGCACTTGGAATGGAGGCGGCGCTTAAACCAGAAGTTGTTCATTTAAGCCTGAACTTGATACGGTTGATCGGAAGGTGCTATAATTAGAACAGTCTGAGAATAGAACTTCAGATCAGAATCAGAATTTAGAGCGTTTAGAGCTTCGGACAGACAGATCTTACAGTGGCGTATCCGCAGGGCGTCTTGGCGATCCTCTCTATGGACTCCAGAGCATCGAGGCCCAGCTGGAGGTAGGTGTGGTCACCTGTCGCTCTGAACAGGTACATGGCGCTCTCTATTAACTCTGGAACACACAGACACACAGCCGGGCAGCGACTTATTGAACTGATTCATTCGCTGGTTTAGTAATCAGGTCTGACGAATTTCAAAATAAAAGCCCCTATCGCAGTGTAGGCTTTAAATGATAAAACCCAACCAGACTTTATTGAACATTATGTCCCTGTGTAGTTGTCACACTCTCTCTTCCATGTCATTTCTGGGTGAGAGGCAGGTGGACTGACCTGGTCTCAGTGGGTATCCCTCTCTCTTGTCCACAGTGTAACCCTGAGGGATGCTGTAAAACTCAGGTAGACCTCCAAACTGTCTCCACACTGAGTAATAATTCTGGAAAGTTCGCACTGCACTGTCCAGGTTCCCCAGGAGAGACTGAAACACACACACACACA